CAGCGTAATTACAACATATGTACCACACATCGCAGCTCAATTTCCATTAATAATAAAATCATTATTTAGTCAGAAATATTCTCGCAATTAAAATAGTTTCAATATTCTTATTACCCAGAACGGTATATTTATTTAAAAGGAGGCTAGCTTCGCATATGTGGAACCCCCTTCGAATAATCCTGGATCCACCTCTGAGTTGAACTAACATACGGTTTAATTCACCTTACATGATGATGCATGGCTCCCAAAAACAACCAGTTATACGACACGACAGAGCTCTGATACATCTAAGTTTAATTATTTGTTTGTAAAAATTGCCCATGTCACCCTGTTAGTTTGGAGGGGTAAGCTGGGTCAAGTCCGTGTCAAAATTCTTTGAAGTTTTGCAGGAAAAAGTCTTCCTTTGTTTCTCTAGCTCCTTCTTAAACCTGGTGTCCAGACTTTTATCTAGTGCCCCCAGGGTTGCGGGAGCTTCTCTTTGAAAATAACACTCAGGCAGATTTTTACCTGAGATAAATAACGCCAGCGAGAACGGTTCGATATTCTCAAGAAAGAGGGTACAGAAGAGTTGAGGGCCACTGAACCCTCTAATTAAGAGGTAAAGGGAGTTCCAGTTAGATGGACCTAAGATCTAATATCCGTTTATTAGATCTTAGGATGGACGAATAAGATAGGACTTGTTAAGGTTACAGGCATTTTACCTCAAGTCGGGGGGGGGGGGGGGTGGGCGTCAGAACAATTGTGCCGATACAGAGGATTATAATAAGCAGAGGATTTTCTTTGATATTCCGTGAAAAATACACTAAATCTATATAAAATCATGGTTGGCCAAAAAATTGTATGCGCAGTGCATCCGTGCGTATGCCTAGTTACGCCCATGCATGATACGAAGAGTTATTATTAATCCCTTTAAAGACTTTATCAAGATGTCCTATTTCTGGAATTGACAACAATGGCAACGGAGTAAATGCAGATGCCTGAAAAAATATATGCGCCAATAATATGCACCTAGTTTAAAAGTTTTGAAGCAGTTACAGATTTAGTTAGCGGAGATTGTTGTGCAGGACATACTAGAGCAGGGTCGGATCCAGGATTATTTGAAAGATACCGAATAACATAAACATTACTTTTGTTGAATGACAGTTACTGTTAATGTACACATAAGACAGAAAGCACTTTTTATGTTGTTTCTTGCAGAGATCAACATGACTGACCAAGAGAACAGCCCAGATCAGAGCCACACGGCATCATCACTAAATGGTATTGACTCTGGTCAAAATGCAGCTGGTGTGTCCAATCTTCAGTCAATACAAACTGTGACAGTCACTGGGAATGTTCAGGTAGGGAGCAAATAGGTAGTTTGTTCAGATGACTTCAGTCCTTTATTTTTTACATTGAGGGTTATTTAAGCTGTGTCACATCATTGTTTAGTCACCTGAATAGAGCCTTTTAGATTCGATTTGATTTATTTCATACTTATTACGTGTATAATTTATAAAATAAAAATTACATAGATGACAGAAGAAATGCTTATGCTTGCCACCATCAATTAAATTACTTTTATTTATTTATTTTTTGTCATATTAAACTTCAAAAGTTAACATATGGTTTAATAAACCTGTTTTTTGCTTATTTTAGGATTTTAAAGATATCCAACACCCTGTACAAGACCCCGAAGAACAACTAGAAGGATTGCAACCACAGGAAACACCACAAGATGGTGTGGATCACACCTTACACCCACACCTGCTTCCTGAAAATATCAAATTCTCAATAGAAGTTGAAAGTGATTTAGCTCTACATTCCAGTGATGAGTATCAAGATCTTCATCCACATGGGCTGTAAACAACTATTATTGGCATCTTTCTCTTTCCACAGCCACAGCTCTATGCATATTTACATTCAAAATAACTGAAGGTTTCTTTTCAAGTTTTGGGAGAAATTGCACATACCAAAAAAAAAAAAAGTGCATTTCCTGTTACAATAAAAAAAGGGAAAAGGTCAAGCCCAAGGTCACATTTTATTTGCCATGGTGACTTTGAACAATGTCTCTGCAACTCAAATAAATTAATGTGGAAATTTATTAAATAATTTTAAGAGGTTTTTTACGTGAATTTTTAACCCTTCCAAATGTGATGAGAGCCGATGTTGGCATTAAGGCTCAAAATTTGCTGTGATCTCATTGGTCAATAAACTTGGAAGTTTATTTATAATGATAAAAAATCAGTTAGTAAAATCTCACAGTAATTTATTTGCAGAGATATTGATCATGGTCACCACACAAATTGATTTTGATTAGTACCAAAAATTAGAGTTACAGGGTGGGGTGGGGGGGGGATACTGCAAAAGTACTAAAGATCTCATTTTTCAGGGTCCTGGGTCTGACTTTGCGACCTTCAAGGGGAGATTTAAGATGATTCTAATAAACTTTCAATTTTACATGACAAATATTTATTTAAAATAAATTTTTGTAATAAAATGTAAGTCTTATAAAATCTTTTTGTTTTCATCTTTTACTGGGACAAAGAGTTTGATGAACTTTTTGACACTTTTAAATGTTTACCCCCCCCCCCCCCCCTCCTTAATCATGCTGCCCTTTTTAATGAAGGTGCCTCTCCACGGAGAGGTGGAATTAACAGATACTTTTAACCATTCTGGGATCACTTTGATGAAAAAACTGTCAGTTTTAATTGTTTGATCACTACCCAGGCCCCTGATTTAAAAGCAGCAACTATCAAAGCTTGCTTACTTATCTAGGTTTATTATTATCAGCTACTGACCTGCTATTAAAAAAAACTATCAAAAAAAAATGCAAATATATATGACTTTTCTTTTACAATTTTTGATAAAATGGTTATGGTAAAATGTGTTTGTTGATTAAAATTATATTTAATGGCAAATTTGCAAAATTTTCATCTATAGCATCTCATATCTTAAGGTTACCTCTCAGGTCTGGAGGTCCTTGGTTTAAGCACAATAGTGAGTTTCCTGAATTTTATGATTAAAGGCCAATCCTTTGGTTTTTGTAACATTTTCTGTCATCAGTAAAATGTTCAAGAAAAATATAAATGCCTTAACTAGATAACTCAGAAGCAGTGCATTTTCTTTCCTGGAATAGGGAGGGTTTATTTTCAATGAGGGGGAGATTGACAGGGAAGGTGGGAATTTTCTTCGATTATATACTCAGGCCTAGCCAACTACCAGACTCGGCACATAAGGATCCTGAATCAACTGGTATATCGGACCACACTAACCGTTTTCAAGGTGTGTGTCAGATCGCATTTCGGATTATCAGTCAGAACACCGACAGGATGAGCCCAGGCTCGGCTGTCACCTTGATTGGATAGTAAACAATTGTCACAAAATCGCTATATGATTTTAAAACCGGGTGTATAAATTTGAAAGCCACCTAGATGAACCTTAGACTGCCACATTAATCTAATACAATGCAAAAAAAAAAAAAAGAAGCCCTATCAAAAGTGGTTAAACCATTCAAACCGACTGTCGTAAAGTCCCCATATACCCCCATAGAGACAATAAAATAGAGTACTCTAAAGTAAGAGTACAGTTTAAGGTTGTTCAGCCGAGTGTGGATGAGCCCGCAGTCGTCCTACAAAATTTGTTCTTGGGTAAGATACTCCGAAATGCGATCTGACAAACACCTTGAAAACGGGTAGTGTGGTCCGATATACCGGTTAATTCAGGATCCTTATGTGCCGAGTCTGGTAGTTGGACAGGGGAACCCCTGTGGTGGCAGGGACATCCAGTGAGGCATCAACATGTATTTCTTCTCCGGACCGAACACCTGTAGGGGCTGTATGGAATAATTAACCATTCCAATCATAATGTGACTTGTTTTGACTGACTCTCTTTCGGAAATATATATGTTTATATACTTTCATAGCAGAAGGGTTTGCAAATGTGTACAGGGCGGCGCTTGAAACGGCAGGATACAACAGAAGGTCGGTGAGCAGTGACATTAAACCAAGCCATTCTCTCTCCAGTGAAAAGAGAAGATGCAACAGAAGAGTTATTTGGTTCAACCCACATTACTGAAAAAGCGTTAAAACGAATATTGGCCATATCTTCCTCCAGTTGTTAGACAAACATTTCCCGCGAAGAAGCAGACTTAACCGAATATTTAACAGATCCACAGTTACAGTTAAAGTTGGTTTACAGGTGTATGAAGAGCATGCAGCAGATTATTCAATGCCATAATAAGAAAAAAATGTCAATAAGTACTCAAGATAAAAAATGCAGTTGTAGATTTCCAAACAAGTGTTCTTTGCGGGATGAATGTTTGTCTGGCAATATGGTGTACCAAGTAACAGTCACTACAATGAACAAATTATGAAGTATATAGGCCTTTGTGGGGGACAATTCAAGTTGAGATATAACAACCACACTAAAACAGATCAATATACAAAATCATTCAGGTACAAAAATATAAATATATTTGGAGATTAAAAGAAAGTAACATTCAGTATAACATTAGGTGGGACGTCATGAAAGATTAACAGCAATATTATAAGGTATGAGGGTCTTCTTTTGTATATTGATCTGTTTGCGCCCCTGATGAGGCCTCCAGGCCGAAACCCTTGTAGGGCCACATAATAATTAACATGGAGAAAACAGATTAACTTTGTTCGTTTTCTCTCTCTCTCTCTCTCTCTCTCTCTCTCTAAGGATAAATAAATAGAAATAATAATAAATAGATAGATAAATAAGAGAGTAAAATCATGTAGATTTTATAACTCTCAAGAAAAGTTATATTATGCCATACTAATCCTTTTGAGTAATGGCGTTGTGCTCACTTGAGAAGTTTCAACAGCTCCATGGTTCTCATTGAGACAGGTTATGAGGAAGATTGTCTTGTGTTGATATCTAATCACATTTCTAGTTTGGATCGTTCAAGTATTACATGTGATGTTCCAAACTCCGAAGGACATTCTGGCACTTGTCTGTGAACATTATATTAACTTGCACATCCACAGTCAAAACCAAAAACTGCTTAACTCCTTTATAAATTCATAAATATATATAGTAGTCCGGTATAGAAGTAGGCTGAAGTCGTACGATAGTACGAATGTCAGAGAGGAAGTTGCTTCTGGAGATCTTCAGTGATTAAAGTCTAGCATTAAGATTATCACTGAAAAAGAGAATTAACGAAAGGGCCTACAAAATTAAGGCATGGTAGCCATCCCGGCAGCGGTATGTGGACAGTGGAGATGTATTGATTTTATTGAATTTCTAGTCCGTGTCCCGTAGCTTCTCTGATTCACTTTGTCGAAATAAAAACTCTCTGTCACATAGTACGTGTAGGCCTACCAGGATTGGGGTATGCCTATACATCTTAAAGTCAGGGTGGAAAAACGCGTCTGTAACGATCTGCTGAAGTTCTAGCCAGCCTGTTTTATGATCTGAGTACCAAACTCAAACTTGCTGTATTTGAGGGATTCGTCACATCCAAGTCGTCCAGCAGGGGCGGTAGGAGCAGCACACATTGGTTTTGGACGGTGACAACAAGTTCACATGGCAGCAGCTGTGGGCATCATTGTACACCAATAAAAGAAAGGTCCAAAACCCAAAATGATGAAAGGATGGACGAATTAGAAAAGAGAATTACTACATCCAAAAGCCCCATGTTCCTCAACATTGTTATCCTAGCTAATCCGTCGGTGATGCACGCATCCCAGGATTTTTCTTTAATCATAATCCCCGAAGAAGGCCTAGGGACCGAAAGCTTGGATGAAATATTACATCTTTACAGTAGATCTTCATAGATGAACCGATATTATAACTTATCTACTTCTTGAAGATCTATATGGTGATTTGACTTGAATCATTGCATCATGATGTGAACAGTGCAGATATGACTCAACTGAAACAATCGACGTTCCTGCAATTAGCTCTTCATCATTGCAATAGCAATAAGTCAAAATGTCAATAACACACAGAGATTTAACAGAATCATCTCATGTCCTAAATTTTTTTTGCGTTTTGGAGAGCTTACAGTGCCCTTTGGTACGGTTTAGAACTATAATTTAACTAGTCAAAATTTTTATTTTAAGAGGGAAATATTGGTGTGATAATATTTTTCTGAAACCGAAGTGGGGGTCAGGATCCCCCTGACCCCTCTCTAAATCCACCACTAATAAAGGTTCTTTAGAGTTATGTTAATAGTTCTTCTTGTCCATGAAATGGTTCTTGATTTCACTTTTCACAATTTTTTCTTAAAATCAAATGTAAGTGTTAATTTATTCATATGGCATTGTAGCCATTCTAAAATAATATTAAATAATTTTAAAAATATTTCATTGAAAAATAAACACTATAAGTCTCTCTCTCTCTCCCCCTCTCTCTCTCTCGAAGCAATAACAAAACTGGACAATTCCTATGAAAGAAATTTTGTTTAATTCAGACATAATCAACCATAAATTCAAATTCTATAGTCAGGACTTAAAATATTCTGTTACTTATGGGTGAAAGAGCTTACCAGTACAAAACCACCAGGGCAAATATACGTGAACTGAAACAGTAGGATCCCAAGAAAGCATAGCTAAGGGGAAGGTGGAAACAGACCAAGAAATTACTAATAGCTGAATTATAAAAATGTTTAAAGGTGATTTCACAATAAATATGAGAACATATTTAGAAAGGCCAAAATCAACCAACCCCCAGCACATCTCTAATGATAAGTCTACCAATCAGCCAAGTTTCAACTTCCTTACTCTGATAATCTAGCCACTAGTAGGAGTTCACTACTTTAAACACAAGAAATAAAAAATTAAAAGAATTTACAAACAACCAACCCCAGGGACAGACCAACCCCTATTGCACTAAAATTCTGAAATGCCCATATACATCCCAGAT